CCCCAAAACCCCAAAACCCCAAAACCCCAAAACCCCTTACCCAATAGGATAATTGGAATTAGATAATTAAAAATATTGGAAATTAATAGTAATGGGCAGTTCTTGTGCAACATCCCAACAATCTAATGATTCATTGAATAGGACTACTTGTGAGAAGAATCTCAGAGGTCAAGCATTCTTGACCAAAGCTAAGCAGAAGATTCGTGTCGAGGGTAATATTAGGACAACTTTACCCCAAGCTCTTCAGAATAAAATGAGAAATTACAGCATAAGTTATCGCATTAAATATGGAAGACAGCAATTTATTTGGGCGGAGAATACTCAGAGCCTAGAACATACTACAACCCAACCATTTAGTCTTGAGTATCAGCTTAATGCTGAAAATCAGAATATGAATGTAGTTCTGGAGTTTAAACCGAATAAGACAAAGAAGGAAAAACCTTCCGTATTAAGTCCAGAGCATGGAAATTTTTTGACGGAGTCCGAGGGAAATATGGTAATCATCAACCTCCAAGCCTACTTCGATATTCATGAGTTGCTTATGCTAAATGGAGACTTTGGAACACCTCCTCATCTTAATGCTAAAGAGCTTAAGGCAGCTGTCATTAATGAGGAGAGTAAGGGTGGCCAAATCTCGAATTTATTTCCTCCTATCACTGTATCTCTAAGAGAAATAAAGCCAGATAACCTCAAGAAGATCAGGTTCAAAGTTCGAGGTCGTTTTAACAAGAAAAATAGAGTGATGTTAACAATTTATGAGCATGCAAGCACTGAAAGAAGGTTTATCTATGAAAGCAGGCCAGTATCTGGTCCCAGTTCTAGGGATATCCGAGAATTTGAAACTATTGAGATCAATACAGATGTATTTGAAGGAGAAAAGATTTCAACAACAGTAATAGAAATTGTTGCTCAAGAAGTTATATTTGATAAAAAAGGTGAAAAGATGAGACCCTTTGGTTCAGAATGAGTTAGGGTAAAAGATATTATCTCCATGTTTGATGGAGAAGTTATGACTCTGAACTTAAAGAACCAGAGCAATAAAACAGTTGCAAATATATCCATTAGTGAGTCACTGATCCAGCCTTGCTTCTCATTCCTGGACTACAAAATTTATAGGGAGGTAAATATTATTCCCATCGTAGCAATAGATTATTCGCTATCAAATCTTACTTTTGATAATCAGAAGTGTATCCATTCCTTAAAGAAAGGTGCAAATAATGATTATATAAATGTAATCAAGCATATTACAAATGCTTATCACAATATCAGCTCTCATATGCTAGGGTTTGGAATGGGTGCCAGAACCATTCCTAAGAAAGGAGATACTAGTAACTTATTCGCACTCTCAGGTGATATTTTCAACCCACAGATCGATAAAAGGAAACTGTTTGATAATTATGCTGATACTTTAAAGAGAGTGGAGCTATCTTTACCAGTAAATTACCACGATGTGTTACAAACAGCCTCAGGTTATGCCAGGTATGAGACAGAGAACTATGAAGCTCGGAACTACTTCGTGCTTATATACGTTTCTGTAGGAGTTATAGATGATTTTCAAGAGACTCTCCAAGAATTAAAAGAAATCAATGACCTTCCACTGACTGTGATTATGGTAAAAGTTCGAAATATGCAAACTGAAGACACTAATGATCCAGCTATCCTTATCAAGGAGTGAGCTCAAAGTTTTGCTGCTTGTGAGAGAAAATATCTTGAGATTATTGATTTCGAGCAATACAAGAAGGAAGGGAAGCTAGATGAATTTGAGAATGCTCTGGTAAACAACATACCGCTCCATGTTCAGAAGTAAACTTCTGTAATAATTTTTAGGTACATGGCCATACACAATGTGTTTGCGCATGACATCGAGGGAGATGACCTTGGCTCACGAATGTCCATTGCCATCAAGAAAGAGCAAATGGTCAAGAAACAGGGTGAAGAATATAATGATGATGTCAAGAGAAGGCGAAGCATGGTCAATATCAAAGATTTTGTCCAGAATTTAAAAGGAAATAATACAGTTCAAGATCAAGAAAGCGAGGGGAGTACACAAAGACGTCAGAGTAGAGATGACTCTGATCTACAACCAGCGATCGATAAACTAAACAAAGATGAGCAAGATAGAAAAATGAATGAAAGAAATGAGGACGAGAAGATATCAGATGAGGAGGGGGATAAAATAGAGGTTAAGAAAGAAACTAATCTTAGTAAGGAAGTATATCCTAACTTTTAGGCTGTACTGTGGCAATTGAGGACAGAAAAGATAGGGATTTCTTCAATAAAGTTCCTTCATTCTTTGCTGAATTAGAGCAGAGGCATTCTAAAGAATGGTTTCCTCCTATGAGAAGGCATTCTTTCAGTGCTTGTTGAGAAGAGCAATTTATTTTAAACATCCCTCCTACAGAAAACTTTCCCAGAGAGAAATGACTTGAATTTATAGACCAGGGAAAACTCCTAGAAGCCAATAATGCTAATCTTGAGTATTTAATCAAGAAAGAAGCAGGTTTGATTCCAGAAAAAAAGAAATAGTCTCTCAAAAATAATGAATTTTATACTAAGAATTTTGCATTTTGTATCGAAACTTTTATTTTATAATTCAATAACTTGATATTTAGCAGGGGTTTTGGGGTTTTGGGGTTTTGGGGTTTTGGGG